TCATGATACTTGAAATAACTGTTTAATGGAATTGTTGGTTTAAGGATCTTGTCCTACTCATTGACTGCCTCAATTGGCAAATGGAAAGACAAGTAATTAGCTGTACCCTGCGTGGCTGATCCACACTCATTGCAGCTTTCAGAGCTAAGGGAACTGAGGAGTTTACACAGTCAAGTGCTCCACATAAATTCCTTTGTATCATGGGCCAGATTTAGGATCTACAACTGCCTAAAGAGTTCACTTTCACATGAGTAAAAGTTTGATCCTTATCCAACTTGAGAGAGAAGGAAAATAAAATTTCACTGCTACAAAATGCTTTTCCACTCATGGGCCAGATTTAGGATTTACAACTGCCTAAAGAGTTGTGTTCTCTTTCACATGAGTAAAAGTTTGATCCTTATCCAACTTGAGAGAGAAGGAAAATAAAATTTCACTGCTACAAAATGCTTTTCCATGGTGCACTCTGAGTTCAGAGCTGGCCTCTACAGAATTTCCAGAAACCATTTAATGGTTTCACAAAGCCTAAGAAATATACCCCATCCCTATAAAATTAGGCCCATTCCAGTAATCCTGGTTCTGCCACATGAGCAAGGCAAGTGCCTTTATGCTCTAATTTTAGACTCAATACAATTTGCTGACAAGACTGCAAATGGAAAATAATTCCTATTGGGAGCGGGAGCAAATTGATACTAATGTTACTGAAAATTTGATATAAAGGCAAACACTCCTTCCACTTGCCCTCTCATCAGGGACAACCAAAGGCTCCAACAGGCTTCAAGCAGGACAACTTCCTGGCTGCAACCACAGAAGCAGGTGGCTCATGCCAGTATCTCCCCCAAGCCACAAAGGGTTAAATTGCCATATGTAGCTGCTAAGTATGCGTGTGAAAAATTCAAAAGCATGCTAGTGAGCCATCTGGCTCCTGCTCCTACTGGGTATTTGGGGATGAAAAGGGAAACTGGAAAGGTAAATAGTGTATGGCTTGATGTGTTGATTTTCAGCTGAGATTTCTCTCTTCGGTGCCTAGTCATATTTGTCCATCTAAATGAGTGGGATTGACTGTGTCATCCCAAAAAGGGGTGAAAAAAATTAGCATGTAAGCTCTGGGAGAGCTGTGCAAAGCCAGACTCTGCCTCATGTAACAGCTGAGGCAAATTTATTCTGGTCTGCATCCAGAAAAAGGCCTCAGCCTCTTAGTGCCTAACTTGTGTGTAGGGATGGAGGGAGGCTCCTCACCCCGGGTACAAGCAAGATCAGCTGGCTTGGACTGAGATTCCAGAGAGCTGCCCCACATCTGGGGCAAGAGTCAGGATCACCACGGAGAGTCAGGCACCAGCTTGGACTGGAAAGAGAATGATTTCCTACCTTAAGTGTGCGTGCCAAGCCAGCATTTTTTCAGTTTTTATTATTATATTTTATTTTCCCCTGTGGTAGAGATCAGTGGTGGGAGAAAGCAGGATGCTGCTCTGCTGGAAGCACTCTGGTTTGTCACCTGGGCCAGTCTCATTTGGGAGGCTGGCCTGGCCACATCCCTGACGCACTTCCATGGCTGGAAGGTCTCAAACATGGCCAGTGATGACAGCTGGAAAATATACCAATTTAAATTTTTAAAAATTTTATAACTTTAGCCAGTTTTGACAGAATCGCAGAATGAACTAGGTTGTAAAAGACCTTTGATATCATCGAATCCAACCTGTGTTCAGCTTTGTCCCAGGGGAAGGGAATTGGAGTTTTTTCCAGGGCATTGTTCTACCAGGCGAAGGCCTGATGAGGTTAATATCTCAACAGAGTGGGAGTGGCCCAAAAGATACCCAAAAAGATAATGACCATCAGCAGAACATCAACAGACATCTACCTCAGACACTGCTCCCTGGCATGGTTGGAGACACTTGGTCCAGAAAAGACTGATAAGGAAATCAGGGGGTGAGTACCTAATTAACATCAGAGGTGAAGAAATCCAGATCCAGTAGGAAACCAAATACTAAGAACTACATAACTTGGAGCCAATGAATATCAAACCAATGAATCTCTATGGGCCTTGACTGTATAAAGTCTGTGAAAAATCTGGTAAAATTCATGTATCATGGAATGATTTTCTCTGCACACCTGGGCTATGTGTGAATGAAATTATTTGTATTGCACATCCTGGCCAGAACAACAACATCCTGGCCAGAAATAAAGTAATGCCTTGATTCTCTAACACTAAAAATGTTGTTGGAGGGCTTTTGTTTCTCCCACAGTCTTGGTGACAACACCAATGCCATTTTTTACCTGTGACTTCGTGTGTCAATCCACACTGCACGCCTCTGATTCCATCTGTAGGCAACGGAGACTCAAAACTCCTGAAGTCCAGGTTGGGCTATGAGCAAAAGAAAAAGCTGGTCCAGGGACTGAACCTAAAGCATGTCTCCAGCTCTGCTACAGCTGCCCACACTCTTCATCACACAACACCCTAATCCCACTTGTGGCATGTATTCCCTCCTCCACCTGCCACAACAGTTGAAGTTCCCACAGTAGCTTGCCCTCCATGTCCTGATCCCTGTGACTCTTCCTCCTCTATAAAAGAAGCTAAAACAAGTCTTTCTCGCCTGGCTTAAAAATAAGCTGTGCCTTGAAGTCATCTATTTATGCCTTTTTTGGTTGTAGTTTTATTGAAAAAGCTGGTATTAACATATTTATATTTTTATTCAACAACAGTTAGCTAATTTGTGCAACACAAAAAATGCAGCCATGAACAACAGCTTTCAAAACAATCAGATTTACCAACTTTACCATCACTTACTCTACACCACTGAAAGCTCAAACTAAAAAGAGAAAGAAAAGTTGGAAACGTTCACAATGACGATGTTAACTTTCCATACATTCAAGAAACCAGGAAACCGATCTGTAACAGTGATGTCAAAGACAGGAACGGAATACTGGTCTTTGAAAGGTTTCTATTTATTTCCTCTAGAATTACTTCATGGTATTTTGGTTGGGTATTTAATTAGTTTTATAAAGCTCCAAAGATATATTTGTTTATTTAATTTTAACATGTTCTTTTTGGTACCCAAAGCTGAAACAGAGTAAGGTACTTCAAATTAAATAAAAAAAAAGGTTGCATTAAGATCTGCTTTATAATAAGTTATCTATAGAATCTTACTTGAGAATGTTAAAAGCTAAATATATGTTTTGCAGTATCTCTAGCTGTAAATGCCAATATGAGCTGATAGCATTTTTTTTTTCTTTTTGAGCTGCAAAGATTAACGGAGGGGTCCAAAAGTCAAAGAAATTGTATGACACCCTTGAAGCAGTAGTTTGGCTTTAACAAGCTCTCTATACAATTTACGACACTCTTAAACCTTTTTACAAGGAAAAGGAACAGGAAAAGGCAATTCTGTTAGATTTTGTTAGAATAAATATGTACATATACTGTCCATGCTTGCTACAGCACACAGTATTTTATAAACAAACATTCTTTGTTCCCTTTAAAATCACCCTACACATTTCATACTGTATGTGTTTAGTGTGGCTGGAAACTGGTGCACATGTATTTGTGCTTCTACACACAAAATATACAGCATTGATCTAGAAAACTTCAGACAGATTTCAGGTGTGGTGTTGAGATCTCATATAAAAGCTCTAGACTTTGTTTTTTTATTTCTTGTAAGCAGATTTTTACCCACCCTTCCCCCAAACCAAAATACAAAAGCATGCAGATCCCTTCATCAGTACATTCTCCACTTACCAAGAAATCAGTGCATAATGGCTTAAAGACTTTTTTTTTCTGAGGAGTTTTAATATGGGCAGATTAACAGGTCATGTGAGTTGTGCTCTTTTATTCATGGTTAGAGTAGGAATCCTTTGGGATATTGAATTTTCCGCCAGAGCTATTAAGGGTGCAGCAGAACTTTCTTTTCCTGGATTAAGAGGACTTCCTGCCCACGGCATCGTTCCCGTGCCATTCCTGCATGCCTTATTTTGTGTGTACTTTCCTTTTCCATTTATCATCGTTATAGAACAGAGATAGATCTAACAGCTTTTCTGTGGAGAAAGGTTTTGTTAGGTTTGGATTCTTCAAATTTTCATGTTTCTCCAGGACTAACTTTGTCTCCCAGAAGTGGCCTCATTTAAAAGCATTAAAATTCACTGAGCGGTGCTGCCTCTTGCAGCACCATTATTTTCACAGTTACAGATACCAGGCATTGCCTGTGCTCCCTAAAGGCCAGGATTAACATAACCATTCTGCAAACAACAAACAAGGGTCTTTATCAAGTGTCTAGCAGAGATGTAACTTTGTTCCCACTCAAGTTGGTTGCTGCTTTCAAGGAGAGCACTTCTACCCAAGGTTTCCAGAACTCTAACCCCAAATGGTAGCACGGGTTTGTGTGTGAATTGCCAGGCTATGTCTGACCAGCCAGTCCCTCCAGAGCTGCAATGCCAAGTTTTGTAACAAGTCCTCACACAATGAAGATACTACTTAATTTTTTAAATAGAGCAAAGAGAACCATGGAGAATAAACTTCTTAAAATAAGCTGGCTGAGTAACTATACCAGTCTGTCACTTAGTCACTTGGGAAGGTGAAGCACAAAGTAATGTGATAAATAAATAAATAAATAAATAAGAGGATATTGTAAAGAAGGGAATGGGATGGGAGAGAAGGGGCAGCTTTTCACCAGCAGGGATTCTGCTTCCAGCTCCAATTCTCATGAGGTCCCTCCAATCTGCCACATGCTCTAAAGGGATGTGGCTATTCATTCCTTCAAACAGGCTTGGCCTAATTGAAAGACAAGAAAACAGCACTGGGAAAAAAACCAATCAAGAGACTGAGGCAAAAAGCTCTAACAATGTGGTAAATGCTGTGCACTGCAAAAGCAGGAAGGGCACCAGAACACCACAGTCCTGCAAACCACTGAGACCCTCAAAAGGATGGACAGAGGTTGAGGAGCCTCAGCCCTCCTCAGGAATAAACTGAATAAATATCCCTGCTTGTTTAAAGGAACCGATACAGACCACAGTACTGGATTTGCACTCGTGCCTTTTACTCATACAGTTGCAGTGATGGAAAAGAATTGGCTTGCCACCAATAATGATACAGGCTGAGGGATGAAAGGATGCAACCTACAAATCCCACCACAGAAGCCACAATTTTTGTGAAGATCACATCCTTCTACAACTCTCAAGAGGCTGGTTTGTAAATATAGAGGGATATTGATAAATCTAGTGCATTTCTGAGTTCACTTTATCCTGAAATATGTACAGATTGTTTGTCGCTGCTATAGCAATGATGTTCTCGGTTGGGTGCCATGCTGTGTGCAAGATCTTCTTAGTAAAGTCCAAACTGTCAACACTGATGTCATCTTTCCTCCTCTTGCCTCCAACGCAGACTCTCCGGGGCTTAAGGATGGCTCGTGGTTTGCTGCTCTCCCGGGAAGCCTCCAAGGTCACATCCCGCTTGGTGTTGCGGTCAAACATTCGAAAGAAGTTGTTGTATGCACCTGTCATTATCACACTGCAGAGACACAGAGACGCAACAAAGGCAGTTAAACAGCAGCCTGTGCAAAGCCTACTGACACGAGTGGATCAGGACAGCCCAGTCTGACCTTAGGGTCAGCTGTCTTCTGGTTTCAGATGGGAAAGAGTAAGGAGAAAAAAGGGATTTACCCAGCGCTCCCCAGAATGAAGAGTTTTCTTCTACCAACGCCTTCCCCTCCCATATTATGCAATGAAAATTACAGTTACCTCAAATAATGTCTGCTCCCTGACCTCATGAGAATCACATCAGAAGATAATAAAAGCAACATGTTTCATAAAGTTATTTTTAATTACCCTCCAGCTTTTTATGAGTGCTTAAGGATGATACATTTCAGGCTTTTTCCCTTTCTCTGGAACTTCACCTTTAATGACAGCTGAGTTTAACCACGATTCCAGAAATAGTCTTAAAATTTCCCACATATTTCAAATCTTTTGATACAATTCTGAAAAATCACATTGAATTTGCACATGTAAATTCTTTCCAGATGAAACTCTTTTCCTTGCTGAAGCCACAGATCTTGCAAGTCCAGACATCATTAAAATTTGTATCTACAATGCTTCTTAGATTAAATAAACACACTGGTGTCAGGATTCTGGCACCTATTATATGACGTTTGAATGAAACATCAAGTTAGGATATATTTCTGCGTCTGGGAGAAAGGGACAAAAAACATACCTCAATCTGTATAAAAATTACCTCATTAATCAGCTTGCAGTTTGAAATAATAGATTGCCAGTTGCTTCATTCCCCTAGTCCCTAGGGGAGGATATTTTGTCACTAACTTTAATGAATTCAGGATTTCATCCATGGCCCTCAGGTTATTGGATTAGCATAATCATGGGTTTCAGAGCCTTGTTTGAAAGCTCATCCCCTGTGAACTTTTTCCAAATGTGAAACCAGGGCTGTTCTTTCCTATCTCAGCCCCAAACAGGGTGTTTTTGTTCTGAATTTCCATTCTGTAGGAGAGTATCCACTCCAAATGGTCAGGTCTCCACAGGAAAAGCTGTACAGTTTTAAGACGCAGACAATCAGTAACTATTTGCCTTTCTAATAGAGCCCAAAAGAATATATTTGACGTGCATGGCATTAATAAACAAACCTCCATCTCAAATGACAGCTGCTTTCACACTTTGCTGTTGGGGGGGGATCTGTGTTGAGTGCAGACTGGCCAGGGAAACATGGAGCATATGGGAGAACATGGGAGAACTCACAGGCACGAGCCACTCTCCACCCTGCAGACACTCACTGGCTGACAGGATTAGATGCTCCTGGATTCAGGAGTGCCTCACAGTGTGTGCACAGCCTCCAGCCAGAGCTGCCTTGATCTCATTTGGGGCCATTAGGAGCGACTGTAATACAAATGAATGATACACTGGAAAAGCACAAATGTGAGTTGTGCCCCTCCCTCATTGCTGTGGCTACAGCTGGGGATGGGAGCAGTGCAGGCTCCAGAGCTGCTGCAGGGAAACTGGTGCTGGGTTTGTACACTGGGATCACCCAGCTCCACCCCGCTCCCATGTCTGCTGATGGCAGCTGATCCCACACTGAGCTCTGTGCAGCTCCTGGAGTGCCAAAGGGAACTGCTGCAAACCAGACAGCGCAGCACAGAGACCCAGCACACACTGCCCGCAGCTCACCCACAGCCTTCATCCCACGGAGAGGGGCTGCAGGGGGGATGCACAGGGGCACCTGTCCACATGCAGCCCCATGCAGCCCTGCAGGGAGCTCCTTGTGCTCTCCAGCAGCAGGACCTGCCCCTGGTTCCCTGCAGAGAGGTTTCCCTTTCCTCCTCACCCGCAAAAGGCCTGGCACAATCCTGCCTAGCACGGCACAAGTTAACAACCTCACAAGCTAAAAAACAGGAGTCAGTGTGACAGCTTGATAAAATGTATCCCAGTAGCTGCAGAAAGCCTATTGATCAAGATTAGCGCCCATTTCAGAAATTGAATCAACAGCAGTAAATCAAATGTTTCATTCCTTCCAAATCACCATGTCTTGTCATTACAGCTCCTGCTGTAATGGTTATTCACAACATGAAGAAGCTGAGGTTATTTCATATCTCAGCACTAACATACACAATTTGTGATGCAGTCCATCTGTATATTTTCCCCCAGGCAAAATTTTGAAGCAGGTTCATAATGCTGGGGCACCCCAGTGCCGCAGGCTGCAGAGCTGTGGCTCCCAGGGGAAAGAGGAGCATCCCTCCTGATGGCAGTGGGAACTGTCAGAGAAGCAGCTTTCATGCTGGCAGAGTACCAGTAAACCAAACGCAGAGAGAGGTGTTTGTTAAGGGTCCTATTTTAGAAGGTTTTGCTTGCAGTAAAACTGCCTTTACAGTCCATTTGCTTTTTAATTTCTTGAACTGTCGCATATTTTTAAAAGTCTGCTTTCTTCAGTTGGATTTACTGCAGTTATTTTTTAACATATGTAGATGACTACTTTTCATGCTGGCCCTATTTTTCTGCAGTTTAATGGCTCAGTAAAAACAGCATTATGTAAATGAGAAAGTGTCCATTCTTGTTCAAGGTCACAAACACAGATGGATTATAACCTTACCTGCTGCTTAAAGTAATAAAAGAGAGTGAAAACTAGATGTAAGCCTGCAATTTTTCCTGTTCAGGATAATACAATGTACAATAATGGAGTCTATGTGATAAGGAGATTTTTTTTTTTTTAACTAGTAGAATATAAATTGTAGCTCAATGTAGGAAGAGTCAGTTCTGTATTCCCAGACACTGCTCTGCACAGCAGTGTTATGACATGGGCTTGCACAAAACCATTGCAGGAGAGGCTGATTCAAGAAGCCAAAGCCCCTCATTCAAAACAGCCCACACTACTTCATAGGTGTGTAAGGCAGCAGCCCAGAAAAGCTCTGTCTAACCACCTTTAATTTTCCTTAAGAGGCAGGTTTACAAGCTGTGCTGCACAAGGTCAGAGGTACCATCATCTCCACCATGCAGAGGTATTTCGGACACAGAACATGCTCCAGTGCACCCTGAGGAGCAAAGCTGCAGCCTGACTGCACCAGCTCAAAACACCACAGCTACAGGCAGCATGATTACAAAAAACCCCAAATAAAACAACACCACATCTCATCTCCTCCCAAACCAAACAAACAAAAAAGCAGGGAAAGACCCTGATGGCTGCAGCATGACTACCACTGCCTACACTTCACCTCCTGCAGCCCAGCCAGTGATCTGGAAGGACACAGCATCCCACACCTGCAGGGCCATGAATGCATCTGCACAGCCCCACATTAACCCTCCTGTGCTGCCCTGGGCAGGGAATGTTTCCCTCTCAGCACAGGGCTGCTCTGCAGAGCACCTGGAGTATTCTCTGCTCCCTCTGGTTGATCTGCTCCAAGCAAAGTCCTGGCAATTCTTCAGGTATGTGTGTTTGGAGTGACAACACAAAATGCTACTGATTCCTCCTCCCTGCACTGGCACTGGGCATACTTGCTTATCAGTGGTTCAGTCTGAGGCATCTCACTGCCAAACTTCAGTCCTCATGTGGGTCACTGCAACCCAGTCTTACCCCTCCTTTTTTTTTACCAATAACAAATGTATTTTTACAGAAGGTAAAAGGTGAAAGGAAAAACTCCAGTGCAAGAGCAATCTTTTATTAACTTTTCTTTTCACTCCCTCCCTAGTCACCGTTCTCTTTTTCTCTTTCTTTCCCTCTGATTCTGCCTTTACCACATTTTCCAAATAGGTTTCCCTTTCCCTCTCTCTTCATTCTTCCCTCTTCTTTCATTTCCATCTATCCTGCTCTACAGCTTTAAATTAAAAACCTGCCTTATCTGCTTCTCTCTTCCTTTTCCCACCCCTTTCAAATCTTTGTTTTACTTCTGTAAGTCTCCTTGCTCACCCTTTCTCCCCCTACCCTCCAGTCTTGAAGACAACTTGCTTTGCTCTCCAGGTATTTTGGCTTGCATCCCTGCCTTGCTTGGGCTGAAGGCTGGGGAAACAGCAAATCCCCAAGAATCAAAGCTCATTTGGGCAGGAGAGGTGGTTCCCAAATTAGCAGAACATTAACTGTACACCTCCCATTCAGTTCAGGCTTCTTCACTCTCTGCCATGTTGATCTGGTAGCCCGCAAAAATTCAGGTAGGGTTGTTTTTTCTAAAAGTAAATTTTCAATCTGTAAAATTGTCTGAAATAAAGGGTTTGAGAGAAAAAAAGTTCTTCCTGTTTGCATTGTAACAGTAATACTCAAAAGGAGCAGATGTTTATCTATGGATAATGATTTTATTAAATATGACACCAACATTGTACCACTGATGTTTAATTTAGGGCCAGAGTTTCAGGGTCTACAGAAGCAGCTTCTCAACTACTGATGGCTTTGGCATCTTTAATTATTTTAATACTTTGAAGTATCTGAGTCTCAATATTTTGGTTTTATTAGTGACTTTGTTAAATGAAATAATTCAGTATGGGATTTTCCCTGCTAAAAAGTTCTGCTTCTCTTGGGTGGTCAACAAACTCTCTACTTCACAAGCTTCAAAGGCATTTGAATAGGATTTTCACAATTTTACTAACCTGCAATGAGATATTCCATAATATTTTTTAGGCAATGAAATTTCATCAATCTCGTCAGTCACTGAGAATTGGCATATCTCTGTATTTCTCAGATTTGTTATTCCCATACTTCAAGCCAACCTCTTAAATGTTATCCATGTTGCAGCCATCCTTGCACTCAACAGCCTTCATCAAAATTGCTCCACTCAGCTCCATTCCTGGATGTCAGGGATTGCCCTGAAGATCTGGGGTATCAGCTGGAATTAAGGCTTGCTTAAAACACAAACCATTACTTGCTCCACACTGCTTTGTGTTGCTTTTCTCGTTTAGGGTTTTTTGTTTGCCTTTTTTTGGATAATTTTTGGGCTAACTCTGGCCCAAATCAGTCTTCCCAGATGCAGAGAAGTTTTTATTCACCTGCAGATTTCTACTGTCTGGAGAAATTCAGCTAGTTTCATAGCTCCCCTCTTTCACTGTTGCCCACGAGAGCATGGAAGCCATGGGATGGTGTGACAGGACCAAGAGCAGGGCTCAGCAGGGCCTCAAGGACCCACACACACCCTGCTTAAGGGTGATAGAAAAATGAAACCAGCCCAGCTGCCCTGCCCCTTAGTGCAGGTGTGGCAGCAGAAGATCATTCCTTGGGGCAAGAGGCAGGGCTTGGACTTTGCAGGTGTGAGGGGAGGAGACTCAGAGAGCAGCTTCCACCAGAGCCTGCCCCACACTTGCAAATCTCAGCAAAGACATCCCTCAGGCACCCATCATGAAAAGGAACCATTTCTTAACATGAAACTGTCTCCCAATTATATTTTGAGCCCCTAAATTTTCAGTATTTCACTGCCACATGTACCAGTGCAGAACAGAACATCTGCAGACTCCTAGGATTTATGTGTAAGGTCCACCAGATCTGGTTTCATGACAAGCTGACCCAATGAAAGACAGGGATGATTCCAGAAAAACTCTTAAAACAACATTTTTCATAGGAATAAAAAGGGAGATTTATTATAGCAAAGGGAAAGGAGGAGGCATTGTTGCAAGCAGTGAGAAACTCCTGAAATACTGGGAAGTTTTCCTGTATGCTGTGCTGTGTAAAGTCACTGACTCCCCATCACAAAGAAGGAATTTATTTAAACCTGGGGAGGAGGCTGCTAGAAAAACTTGAGACACTTGACTTGGATTTAGGGTTGTGTTGTACCCTGGTACAGCTGGCTGGCATAAGACTGGGAATAAGAACAAGGGATCCCCAAGTACTTCCAGCTAATATTTGACATGCCAAGATTTGAGAGCAAAATGATGTCTTCTAGCTCTCCAGCATGGAGTGTGCTGCCAGACAGGAATAGACTCTTAACATCTCATCCAATGGGATCTGCCAATTCCTCCTGATTAGAGTGAAGGCTGATGGAGATTCAGGGGGATGAATGACAGTTCAGTAGGAAGGGACTGACTGAACAGTTGTATGTGACTTCACTCATCTGCTTGCAGCATATCACTTATCATGATGGTAGTTAGAAGTCTCCCTGGCAGGGGTGCTATACACCCATTAATTTGAAATCTTAAAAGAAAAAAAAAAAAAGTTAACTAAGGTATTCACTTGCTATCATGTAGAATTAGGTTTTATTTGGGTTTTTTTTCTGGCTTCTTTACCTCACAAAAAGCTATAAAAGTGCTTATTTTTACAGGTAAAACCGAAAGCTGTTGACAGTAGGAAGAAAACAGTGTCCTCCAGGTCATTATTAAAAGACTTGACTTTGGATGTGAATGGAACAGCTAAATTAAATTGCTGTATAAGTAGAGCTCACATATTCTACACACTCATGTAATGATGGATACACAATAAAGATGGCATGATTTTTGTGTAATATACTCAACTACAGATCATACATGCTCATCTGGATGAATTAGTGTAAGACCCCTGCTTGGCTCCTTCCCCTGACCACTGCTGCCAAAGTACACAGTGATTAATGTGCCCTTCAGCAAATGAGATGGGCTCTGTCTGATTGTATTAGTTCCTGCTCATTGGAGTAACTGAGCATCAATCACGTTCTAATCAGAGCTCACGTATGTTGATTATTTTTGTGAACAGCCTCACCATCAGGTTCTATCACAGCCTAGATTAACTTCTTAGTAATGACAAAAATTAATAAAAAGTATTTTCACCTAAATAATAAACACACTTTCATTTTTAATGGAACAATCCTGTCACTATAAATTGTTGTTATAGCTTTGAAGTCTGCAAAAGATAAAACCAATACATTTAGAAATGCAGTTATTACTGTTATGTAGATGGATTAACAATCTAAGTACTGCAGCATCTCTTTGGAGTGCAATTGTCAATATGGAATTTTTACCTTTAGTAGTAATCCTTTTTTAAAAACTGCCTACCAAGAGACTCAAATTAAGTGATCTTACTGTTCAAATGAACTGTTTTTTAAGAGATACCAGTACCTACGTATTATTTAAACTATGATCCTCCAATAAAAAAATATTCTGGCAATGTACAGCAATACTTGTCACATTCATAAAGCAAGGAGCTCAGAGGAGTGAATCAAAATATGAGCATCAATTCTGATACATTTGAGTCCTAAAAAGAAATAACTAAGTTAAAGAGAGCCCTTTTACTTTTGTCAAATGTTTCCAGCGCCTTTACTCAAGAGTTTCTTGCAATCAAGAGCAGCACATTGTGTTTAGTGACAGGTTTGGTAATTGTGCATGACTAATAACGCCTCAGTCTCTGGGCAGTACAATAAATGAAGCCCTCACAATCTAATGTTCCCACTTAATAATTACTCCCTGCATTGATCTTTCTGATCTGTCAAGTAAGAATGAAAATATTACACTCACTTTAAACCCTGATATTGAACAAGAATTCCATTACTACCAGGCAGCTAACCAGAGAGTGGTCTTACCACACTAATGAGGACAGCAGCACTTCATCTGGCCAGAGGAGAGAGACTCTATGTCTGGGATTAAGTGGCTGCCCATTCTGCAAAATGCACTAGGAATTGGCATCAAGGATAAACAAAATGGTTTGTAAATACCTGAAAAGTCCTGAATCTTTTTCAAAGTTTCCCGTTATCTACATGATTTGAATGCACTGTTGTTCTGTGCCAGACTTAGGCAGGAATCAGCACTGTCTGTTTTCCAATAAGTGCATTAAATTTTGTATTTCTACTAGGGCCAAACTCAAACCATAACCACGCTGAGAAAACCCTCTGCTAAAACAACCATTCAAGCATTTGTTTGGGAGTTTCAGAGAAAAGTCCCAAAACCTGGATCTTCCACTAAACTTTCTGTGAGTCATTCCCAATCTTTGACCATAAAAAAGCCACAACAGCTGGTGCCCAAGTTGATAATGACAGCAATCTGGGAACTATTTTGCTCAGTGTGGTCCATCTATGTAATTTTAAATGGCCAGCAGTTGGTATCACAGGGGATACTCGATGCTGAGTTAATTCTTGTCAAAAAACAAACCACTCTAGCATGCAGGCATTAGAGATAATGGAACATATATGTATTTTCATTTGCATAATGAATGATACAAGGTTAAAGTTTCATTTTTTAGCAAAGACAGAATCTTTCCATTGGGCAGGTAAAGGAACCGAGCAAAGGAAAGTAGTCCAAAGAGAGGGTGCCCCTTACCCAGTGTACAGCATAATACTTGATCTGCATTTGTAGAACACAGGACTAGAAGAGATTTTGTTCTGCACTTCCAAGTTCAGACTTGTAATTTTAAACAATATTACCTATAACTGCTTTCACAAATTTCCTGAGCACCACCATCAGAACAGTTGGGTTTCTTGTATCTCCACCATTCAGGATGGGAACACAGCTTGTCACTGTTTGGACAGGTAGGAACTACCTCTAATTTCCAGGTTATAACTACCTGTTGACTCTCAACACCTGATTGCTGTTGTGCCATTATCACTCACATTTATCTTAGCTATATTCTCTTCCTCCCTATGTATATCTCCTTGGTATATTTACTACAAGCAAGTAAAATCTTGGCTTCTCTTTTGCTAAGCTGATGAAAACCAAAGTCCTGGCCCCTCTTCTTTAGAGCAGCTGTCCATCTCCTCGATAAGTTCATCCACCTTGGAGATGAGGGACAGGAAATGTGTACATGCAGTTCAAAGGTCTTTGAACAAGAGCCCAACATAATGTCACCACTACTCCTTTCTCTGCTGGACAGCCCAGTCTTGCCCATTCAAGCAAGGGGCTTTTTTTTTGTCTTTCACAGATGTCTCAGACTGCCTGTTTCACAGTCCTTGCCCACTCCAGGGTGGGTAGGCCTGCTTCAATACAATGAGACAGACTGTTTTCCAAAATGAGAGGCTGAGCTGAAGGAGTAGTTCTAGGCTTAGTGCCAAACTTCTGCCTCTTGGCTCCTAACTCTGCTGAACCAGGAGTCACTGTGTGTCACTCAGTATTGGCTCCTGTGCTCTCTTTCACATGCATTTTGCAGACTGCTAATCCCTTCCAAAGTCACCTAGCAAATGAATGTCCCTGGGAGTTATTTCCAACTGCTAAGATGAAGCTTTGTGCTCTTTTTTAAACTAAGATCCTCATCTTGCATTATACTCTTGGATTTTATCCATTTTTATTAACCCAGTCCTCTTGGATGCTCAGCTATTTCTGTACCATATTCCTACTCCACAAAGCACTGCCACCACTTGCCAGCATTAGGGCATTTAGCCCACTCCACCCTTGCTCACACTCTCTCACTTGCTCTAGTATTTCTCATTAAAATGTTCAAAAAGATACAATGTCCAAGACAAAATGAACGTCTTCATTAGTGCATAGTGAAAGGGACTGCTCTGATGGAGGGAGGTATCAGAAGTGTCATTGGGCAGCAGTCTGTAGAGAATCAGTGGGTGCCTGTGATGGTCCTTCCTCACACCCATTTCCAGTAAGTAAACTGAATTTCTGGGATAGCTCATGTGCAAAGACAGGATCATGTAAGTTTCCTTAGTGTTTTGGTGGAATTTTGTGAGTTGGCATCATTCCTTTTAGCTTTTGCAGCCTATTTATAATTTGGGTGAAAATGGACATAATTTGAAGGGTTTTTCCCCCTAAGGCATGAGCCAAGGTCATTAAGGCATACATCATTTCTAAGGCAGAGACACAACTGCACAAAGATCCAAATCTTCTATCTTCCCAAACACTGGCATATGATTCTGTACATTGATGTGGAAAATCATCACCTGTAACCACTTTTGGTTTGCTCCCTATCATATGGGAGGTCTTTTGCCAAATGAGGACCGTGATGGACAGAAGGATGGATTGATTACCTGTCTGATCCATTCCATGCACATTCAAACTTGTCAAAGATGCAGTCGTTTTCATAGAGGGAACATAACTTGCTTCTAAGGTAATCATGGACCTGTTTTAAAGAAAATAACTGTTATTCTTGAAATCGAAGAAAATATAAAACTCCACATCCACCCTTCACTTTTTGTGTTACCTCCCATGTTCACTTTCAAAATATGCTGCATAGGTTGGTAGCTCTGCAGAAGGTACTGTGTTTAAGCTCCAAAGAAGCTAACTGTACTTTTCCACAGCCCAGTTACCCAGGTGCTACAGAATTACTGTTGCAGGAAGGCACAAAACACGCTTCCCTCAGCAGGCTGCAGGCCACCCCTCTTCAACATATTTGTTTCCTGCTTGGGTGATTTTCTCAGTGCTAACCTAATTCCCAGAGACATTTCACCAGCTGATACCCTAGATGGGCTAATTAATGTGCAAGAAATCTAATTTAAATAGTAACAAAAATGCCATATTCCAAGATAAGTGGACTCTCACTTATGGCAGAAAGAACTTGGCGCTACTAAAAGAACCTTTATGGTATTACATGTATTTTTGTAAGGTATTTTAGAAGTCAAATACAGCACAAGGTATTTGCACAGGCTGCAAATAAGAACACTAATTTAGCCCAAGGATTTCTCCTATTTGGCTGAGACTTAAAAACATTGCAAGTTCTCACTTACTAACTATAAAAGTGACAGTACCCCGCAGAAGATCTCTCTCCTCTAGGCCACACACCTCTGCTGAATTATCATAAAGAGATCTCATGCAAACTTTTTCAGTCTTTTGCTTAATTTGATTAGTTTTTCTTCTGGATTATTTAGTTTATTCCATAAGGAAATAATAAGGTACAAAATCCCTGACTAGATAAATTTACTAATGCATTTCCACTCCTGATATTTTCTTCTAACTGTTGTAGAAACTGTAAAACAAAGATGTGACCTCCTGGAGAAACACACCAATCCAATGGCCCAGGGGTAATTTAGCTCTGCCATCCTGAGGTTACAGGTTCTTGCAAGTCCAGTGAAAGTGTTCCTGCTCATGGATGCCCAGCATCACCCTCTGGCCTGAGGGCACAAACATTTCTTCTAGTAAAATAACTTCTATCAAGACCAGATGAGGGACAATAAACTTTCACTTAGGTTTTCTTTAAACTTATCCATTTTTGAAAGTCAAATTGTAGAGTATCCAAAGAATATTTGGCATGTAAGATTATTAAGGATTATAAATTTTAGTTATGGATCAATTTTCATTAACAAATGAACACTGAACTGTTCATTAACAGATAATGTCTTATACAGCAATTAATTGGCAAAAGGCAGATAGAACATTCCACAATTAAATGCATTTACCATCACAGTGAGCAATAGGTCAGAACACCTACTATTGATGCAGTCTCCTACACCCTCTGTAATTAAATCCTTTCCCTTTCTCTTTACTTAAAACCTTTTTATGTTAGCAGTGTAATTTGTTACAGAACTGGAATTCTTTCCTTTGTCATGTTTGTGAGCTCCCCATACTTGGAAGAAACAGAAAGGTTGGGTAAGGCAGAAGGAAGTCGATCACATTTGCCTTCCTGACTGTCATTTCTAGGTCTTTCCCTTGTTACCATTTCCAGCAGCCATCTGTCATGACCACTGTCATGTACACACCCTTTGCAAAGTGTGTCCAAGTCCACAGCTTGGAGCTGTGCCTTTCTATCAGCTTTGTCAAAAAGGATTTTGCAATTCCTCTCTCAGATGTCTTACCTTGTCAAGACTGTCAGACTCACCCTACTGCCTTGGACAACCACCTTGTTCTTTATGTGGACCTTTTGAGTTCCACATTTGAGCACATTCAGACCCTCAGAGAGACTGTGAAAAACTAATTTTAAGAAACACTTAATTTTCACTGTTTGCATGTTCATCTGCTTCTATGAACTGAGGGTAAGATCAGATTTGCCTTGTCTGTTACACCTTGTTCTTACCACATATCAATAGCACTTGAAAGCAAACCAAACTCATTCCTCACTAATTACCAAGGACCTTTTCTTCACTGCAATGTCTGACCCTGATGGAATTATCTAGCAATTCTGTGCTTTGGACTAACACAGCAACACAGCTATGCAGGGACCCGTTTTATTTGGACTGAATACACACAGCCAGGAATTTCAGTGGTAGGTGACACACTGGTCCAAATCCCTATGCTACAGACCCTGCCTAAAATGGATCAAGCAATTCCCAGCTGTGAATGTGCTCACCTTGCTGCTCCTAAGGCTTCTGCTGGGCTAATTCACCTGGCAGCATCAGAAGAGTAACCTGTTAGGCAGGGCTGCCTTGCAACATTCAAGCTCTGGCCATTCCACTGCACTGCTCTTTTAGTGCTGTCCACTGACCATACTCTGCCCTTTTTCTTTTGTGTGAAACAAACAGGAGAAATCATGTTGAAACACTGTCAGCAGACAACGATGTGTTCAGCAGGGCTGCAGCAGCTGCTCTATGCAATAGCATTGTTTGAGCCACAGCATGGATATGAAAAAGAACCTGTATGAGGAATTAATTTTTGCATGTCGGGTTTTTAATATTAAAACTGTAAGCTGATAATGAAGCAGTACAGTTATGGACTCTGCTCTTTATTACAACTCTGTGTGAAATCTAATGTTGAGACCCTCACTATTGCAGCCAGGCAATATCTAAGTGCCTACATTGCAGTGGATGAAATGAGAAATTTAATCTTTTAATGAACACCTTTTGATCTTTTAATAACGTATTGTCATCATAATTATGTTGAAAACATTAGGTTTATTTGTTGCCTTACAGTGATCTACCCCAAAAAAAACTTTTGAGAAATTGCTAAGTTTAGATATGAGATTTAGGTTTGTGAAAGAGAGAGATATCTCTAAGACAAATTATTTAAGAGAGTAATTGAAACTACTTTTTCCTAGGAAAGAATTCTCTACTCTCTGCAGCTTAAAAACGTGAAAGGTTCTCAGAGCATTTGAATCACACGAATCCAATGGAATCCTGTGCTATTTTCTTCCCAAGGCCCCTAGTTCTAGATTCTCCTTTAGTCCACTGCAATGCCCAGCAACACATCTGTATATTTACAAGGATAAATATCTGAAAGTGAAAGGCAATCCAAAGATTTAAGAAGACTGTTATATTTTGCTATATATTTTTTTTTAATATTATATAAGGGGTTTTGTTGTTGTGGGTATGGTTTTTTTTCTAGAAACTTCTGACTGCAATTATCAGCACTCATTTTTTGCCATCAGCATGAACAAATATAACTTTTTAATTGGCCCTCCTGTTGGGCACCAGACTGATTTAAAAGTGACCAGCTTGTTTCACAGCTGCCTACATGAGAAAATAAAAGCAGGTGTCAAAATCAAGACAAACAGGTTGGCTTGACCAGCTATTCCTCCCCAGGGACAAGACTGCCTACTAAATTAGCATAGGTATAAAATAATATATTACCTAAGTTCCCCAAACCCGAGATTCTATTCTATTATATATAACATAGTCTCGCCCTTACCCTCCCACTCCACTGTCACAGCATATCAACATTTCTAACACATTCAGCATTTAAAGCACTGCCATTTTAAGAGAAAACCCAAATCTGTAGACTTAGAGGTAAACAGGCTCAGACTTTCCAATATTAACACACTGAGCAGTGAACATTATCCACGGAAACGGAATGCATTGAAAAACGCTGGGGCCCACTCTGTCTACTAAATGCTAGCTAAAAAATACTGGGAAATTTTGTTTGTTTTGACAAGAAATGCTACCAAATTCTCATCATGGTTTTTAAAACCAATCTTAATTATAATTACTGTGAGCTACTGTATCCCACCTGCTATTATTTAGACACAGAAAACCAGGGACGTATTCAGCACCGTCACAGGATTGTCTCTCAGTAAGCAGCACGAGCCGGATGAATGGCATTTTTCCTACTTTGCATACACTTTTTTTGGTAACTTAACAGGTTTTTTTCTTAGTGCATTTTCATAACAAGCAGTTTCTGTGTCAGAGACATATTTTCTGTCTTCAAGCCAGAGTCAAAAAAATGTAAGCTCAGCCCTTAATTGCCAAACATAACAGATGCCAGAGTACAAACTTAGTGCTGGCTGGAGCCACTGGCATTTTGTCTGGATTATATCTCAATGAATTCAGGCAACCAGATGTGTCTGTCTGGCATTTGTGAGCTGCTGTGTCAGTGGTGATGCCAGGGTTTAACAGGGAGCACTTCTAGGGCTAGGCACAAGGGAGAAACACACAGATCAAGTTGTAAAAAGTAGTTCTGAAATGACAAAGGTGTAAACTTTCAGCAGTCCCACCAGGAGCAGAGTGCTAAGCAACACACAAAATCTCTTCCTCGGTTCCTTTTAAATGTTAGTAATGAAATACATCATTTGAAAGCAGATGCCAAAGTGAAGAGATGATTTCTCTCGTTAGAATAATAATTTCTTTCAAGAGCCCAACCCACAGGGAGTGCTACCTTGACTCCCCAGGCTTTACACTTCCTTACTAATGCTGCAATTGCCCTTTTCCAGCTATAAGGATGCCACTGTGAGGGTTTCAACCACCTTGATTAATTCTCTTAGCTTGCTGCTTCTCAGAAAAGGTTATGAGACGTTTACAGAAACATCCAGTTTTTGAGCACTGAGATCTTTTTATAGAGTTGCATTTTAAGATGTAGGAGATTCCTACCTGGTACGTTTCTACAGGCTTTGTTTCCATGTTCAGATCCCAAACCTTGACAGTGAGGTAATCTCTTGTAAGCATGTATCTACCACTGTGACTGAATTTGACATCTGACACTGAAGAGATAATTTCTGAAAAAAATGATCTGTTACTGGGGTCTTCTGGTTCTTCATAAACTGTTCAAAGAAAAAGAAGCAAGAAACAGGAATCAGAATTGTATAAAAAAATGCTCTGTTGTAAAACCTGAAGTGTGCATTTCTTGTGAAACATGTAATTCAATCTACCAAGGAACACGATATAGAATGAATTGTACATCCAGCACTTAACTTATTCTTTTAACTTTATATAAAAATACAGACTGTAAGCTTTAAACATTATAATAATTAATGTTGTAGCTATGGACTTAAAGCATGACTTCAGGAATTTATGCAAATACACAGCTGATTGCAGATACCCATAGCAAGGCATTTCATGCCTTCATCCTTTCTGGGGTATGCATACCCCATTTCCTGACATACCCAAAATCCAGGTGTCCCTGTCACATAAGAGGTGTGTACATGTGGTGTGACAACAGCCCTGGCATCCCTGGGAGAGGTTACTCAAAGCCTGCCCTGCATGCCAGAACCAGCTGGCCTGGCTGCACTGGCCATGTCTGAAGGCATCCAAGACTACGGACGAGAATTTTAAAAATCAACTGCAAATTGCAGTTACCTCTTCCTGAAAGGTGAGCATAAAATAGACAGGGTTTTACCATGTGGATGCATGAACTACATAGTTGGTGTGCAATTGCTGACAGTTCTGGAAAGCACTGAGCCCTCTGAATGTGATGGTCAGCAGTTCAGTGAGATCTGACAAGGCAGCAGGTCATGAGATATTGCATACACGATGTTCATACGTGAAAATCCAGCTCCTGTAGCTATGAGACTGGTCATCCCCGTTCAGCTGTACATAAGAATGACACTGGATGACTCTACCCCTACCTCAGGGGTGCCCAGAACAATTCTGCTGTCTTTCTGCAGGTATCTGTGGCCCTGTGATCCAACTGAGCTCTATGGTGAACTTCAGTAGAACGTTGGGCTTGCAGGGTCTTTTAACTCTCACCAAATCGTAGGGATTTGGGACCTGTGCCTAGAATATTCTTTGAAAATTGGCAATTTAGTGAACTTCATTTTCAAGTTTCAAAAACAAGTGAAGAAAAGCCATGTGATGAAACATGAAAGCATGTTGAAAGCAGAAAAACTTTTTGCTGTCAGTCAAAAGGAAGTTTTTTGTATAGTCCACTGGAACAATTCTCTCTCAATTATTTTATCCACGACTATGATTCAGACTGTTGGAAGCAACAAGGTTAGTTTCCATTAGGTGAAATAATGTTCTGCTGAAAGTTAAGGGTGAGTATGTGGGTGCAGTATGTGGGGTAATGCAAAAAATTATGGGCAATTTCCTTTGGGGGTGGGCAGTGGAATGCAGCCAGGCAGGCACATGAGAATAAGGTCTATATTTAAACACGCACCACACATCTGAATGGTAATGAACTACTTCAAAAAGAGTAAAAAACTTTTCAGATAGACTGTAAATGAACAACTTTAAATAGCTCTTTAAAATTTTGCCTAGACATTCTGCAATGCAGGTATTTTGTAATTATCCTGTCAGATTTTCAAGAGAAGTCTGATGAGCACAAAGCAATTATCATTTCTCATACCTCTTCCCTTTAATCTGTCCAAACTACAGACTTGGCTGGCAGGAATTTCATCCTCCTAATTATGATGTGAAGCTGCTATTAAAACCAGGAAAGAAAAAACCAAAACCCACTCTAACTGAACTACACCTTCATTTATAGCTTAGATATACTTTCTTGGCTCCATGTGGCTCATCCAACTCCCAGTGATTAGAAGAGGAGTGATATTTTTACCTGAATGTTCTGCATTTTATTAATTAATGAGATTAAACCATTTCATTCTTTATCTGCCCCATTTATTGCTTTTCTATGCTTACTGTATTAAGTATTAGAAAGACTTAGATTAATTAACTGTGGAACCAACAGAGGCATGAAAGTCCTGTATCACTACAGAAAGAAAGATAGCAGCAGAAATTTCAGTAGCAGCAATTCTTTGGAGATAGTTCCTCTAGTCAGCATAACCAACACAGGAAAATTGTTACAGGAAATTGAGGAGCAGCTCCCAGTGAAAAGAAGAAAAAGCTTAGCAACTACCAGCATCTGCCTGAGCAACCAGAATAAGGCACTAGCCTCAGGAAATGAAGGTGAGAGAGCATTCTTGGGGCTTGGCTGTTTCTGGCTTAGCATCAACATAAGGTTAAGCACATACTGCAAAAAAGCACAATTTTCCTTCAGTTTGCCTAATACAGGTGGAGTAATTGGAGACAGAACAGCAGTGAAGTGATAGCCTTGTGACTTAGACTTCAGTTCAGGCAAGCAATTCAAATTCAGCCCTGAACTCTCCAAGCTGATAGGAAAAAGCCACAGGTCTAGCCCATGGTTTCCAAAACACATTTTCTGTTTATTACTGTTGAGACATATCTTTTGGAGGCTGCTCTTGTGCCCAGGAGCAATCAGCATCTGAAACACGAGATTTCAAAGCTAGCTTACTTCTCTGTATCTAAATGTTGTTAGATCTGAACTTTACTGACATGTGATTACAGATTCTATCATATTCTTTAATTAATTTCATCATTAATTTATTAGTAACAAACACCTGCCATAAAAAAGGGCATTTAACTTTCATTACTCTTGTTCTTGATAATGGTCACAGTGCTAATTACATGAAAGGCACGAAGTTATCTGTCTAGCTGATGAACATAGAAATCACAAATGACATGATGTGCTGAGTTCTCGTGTGACACTTGCTCAAACTTAAATGTCACAGCACTCTGGCATGGAGAAATATAACGGGATTACAGAGGAAAGCAGAGCATGTCTCTGAGCACAGACAGTGTTTCAAGAGGAGCCTGCCAGGAAGACACTGTTCCTGCCCCTTATGCCACCAGCAGATACAAGGGTAAACTGGGAAGTCTTCTTAGGGAAATAAAAATGCTCAATTACTTTCTCCACAGCTCACAAGTTAAAAACCACAGTAGCTTCTTATAGAAGTCCAGATTTTACAGAGAAGGATGGGTTCATTGAAGGATACTTGCCAGAGTGCTGTTTTCCTGAATCCTGAAGAAAATCTGTAGCAGAAAAATATGCTGCTTCTTTCTTAAAAGGAAATACCATCTGCTGAAAAACAAACTCTTATCCCTCATAAAAAATATTCTTGTTTGCTTCTGAATTTCTCCAATCCAATGCAGAATGGAGACTTTCCTTTTCCAGTGGATAGGAAAGGCATCTCTAATATGGAGATATCTAAATTTAAATAAATGAAATGGCCAGGAACAGCAAGAGTAACTGGAAAGGTCCATTTCACAGCTTCCCTCCCAGACACTGACCAGGAAGAAAAAAGGAAGAGATGCCTCAGGCAGTAGCCAAAAGAAGTGTGGAGCACTAACACCTTGTGGCTCTCATCTGCTCTCTGGGGGTCACAGGTGCTGCCACCTCAACTTCCCATTAATATGGGCCTGATTCCACACAGCTGAAACTGCTATTTATTGGAAGAGATACATCCAACAGAGACAAACAAAATCCAACCCAAAGTAACTTTCAAGTTCAATTCTAAACAAGCAGCTGGGCAGAGATTTAATCATTCCAGGGTGTAAATTCTGGCATATGTGAACTTTAAGAAATATTAAAAATAATGCTAAAATTGTCTTATATGGTGGGTGCAGTGTCACAATCTGATATAGCATAGAAAATCCTGTATTCCTCCTGAAATCATCACAAGAAGGAAAACTTGAAAATTAACAGAAATCTGCTCCACAGACTTTGTAAGAAATTCCATCAGGCATAGGATAAAGTTATAAACAGCTTTAAAGGCTCATTCTCTCTAGCAGAAAAAAACAAAACAAAAAAAAAAAAACCCACTGCTTTCTTTCTACTTACAAACAAATAATAACTTATTAAATCTTGTTGGTTTTTTAAAGAGGATACTGTTTATAGTTTGTATCCTGTTCTGGAAATTTCTGATTTTATAGCACTTGTTAGATTAAAATAACTGGAAATCCTGCACCATGAAATAGATCTCTCCCTCCCTCCAAAGACAGCTAATGGATATAGAAAATGATCCAGTTCCTGTTCAGGAAAGGGATGAAAACAGCTTTGGCAACAGAGGAAACAAAGGCAGTGTGGTTACTGAGAGGGAGAGGACTGTGGAGAGCAGGGCTAACAAAGTTGGTGGAACACGACAGAGAAAAAATATTCAATTTTTATTATATCAGCAAGTAAACATTCCGCAGCTAGACTAAATTAAGAACTTATTACAGATAAAGCTCTGGGTTATACTGGTACACAAACAACAGGTGAATTTCAGCTGGACCTGGAAATACCAGTGGTGGATCAGGTAATCCCTCACTGGGCTTTAATTTCATAAACACACAAAATGGGCTCAGTCCCAGGCCAAATAATTTCTCATTGGAACTAAATCCCTATTTAATTCCAGATCCCAAATAAAAATGGCTGATTAGAACATATTGGAAAACAGTATTTGAAATGTATGGGATTTCACTGGTCTTGACAGACTAGCCACAGGAAGAAAAGAAGCAAGAACCAGTATGCTTTCCTAATAGATGATAAATTAAAAAATTTAACCAAAATAACAAATTATTTAACTATAATACTTTAAATGGCAAATTAGCACTATTCCCAGGTCAGCTGTGATTTGCTCTATCACATTTCATCATTTAGCATAAAAAAACCTGAACTAAATTTCATTTGAACTTCTATAAAAATACTAATATTCTTTCTTTTTTTAAAATACATTACACTTGTTACTAATGTTTAACACATAAAGCATTTTTTTGGTGCTGTTTAATTCAAGAAATGCTACATCTTGAGCTAAGCATAGTTCTGCGCTTATCTCTGATATGGTAGAGATCTCAAGAAGCCATAAAAATGGACAATAAAAATGACCAGAAGTACCAAATTACTTCCATACAAGGAATGGCTAAATGGACTGGGGTCTCTCAACCTAGGAAAGCATGAGGGGGTGGTAATTAAGAGTGGCATGGAAAGGGTGAATAGGGAATGACAGTTCACTTTGTACACTGTCTCTTCCAATCCACAAGTCGG